GATGCGGGGCTCGATCCCAGGACCCTGGGATCATGACCTGAGCCGAAGGCAGACGCTTAACGACTGAGCCACCCAGGCGCCCCAAAGGCATGGGATTTTAAGATGGTACTAATTGAACAACAGTGCCATTTCACTGATTTTATTGAGATACTATGTTTTGGTACCTTCCCCCCCCCATATTGTTTATACAATGAAAGTATAAATCAAGGGCACAAAAGGGTGCCTTTTATCTTGAAAAAAACAATTGCTCTCTCTGTTACTCATAAGTATGTATTTTTAATATTTTTCCATACTTTTTATTGTAGTGTATGATGTGTCATTAAAATAGAATCTGTGCCAGCGTATTTCAGTTTTTTAAAATGTCATTTCTAAGGACATTTGGATGGGTAGCAGTTCAACACAGGATGGACTCTTAATGAATTAAAATTCATTATGAGGTGGCAGGAATCATACACTCCTACTCCAGACTACATCGTGTGCCATCCAAAAGGGAAATTTTTTTAAATTCCTACTTGGAGTTTCTTCGCCCTGGCTAAGGCACCTATATTATTCACAATCACAGGAACCTAAAACCACTGTTTTAACACTCAACATTGGCAGCAAGTGGAAAATTACAGTGAAATTTACGCATGAGTTCAGCACTGCCATTCTTATGCAAACTAAACAGTGTTATAAGTTAGAGCAAATTCCACCAGAAATTGCAGGTTCTTCAGATTTTAGGGTGAAGCAGGCATGGAAAAGTCCTCTTTCACCCCACTCCAGCCCCAGTCCCAGGCAGCTGCAAACCCAAATCTGCCTGGGCTGGGGAGACTTTGCCCTTTTTTAAAAAATGCTCAGGAATGGACATGATACAGCTCCTCTCAGGCCCCCTTTTCATCATCTAACAATGATCACTGCCAGGAGCTCCCCCTGCCCCCCGGCCTCCCAGACCTACACAGAATTTCAATCCGTTTTCTCCAACTTAATAGAGATAGAGGTCAGGTAGGCCTTATTTGAAAGTGATCAGAGAAATAATGTATGGGGAAAGCTCTTAGTAAAACTGTAAATGCCATTCAAATGTAGGGCATTCATAAAAATATTATGTGCCTGACAAATTGTGTTAAGCTTGTTCCTGCCAGAGAAGAAAGTTGAAGACAATTCAGAATTGAGGAACTACTAGTTCATTTTTGTTTTAAGCTAATCAGTGGCCACTGTTAACCGAGGGGAACAATCTATATTAGCAGTGCAGGAAACATCCCGCTTCACTGACCCTCTACCTCTTTTCCTTTTCTTCCTCCTTTCCATTTGTAGAATGATCTGAGAATTGACATAAAAGGTAACTTCCTTATTTACTCTATAGCCTCTTCTTGGTTGTGTGAAAAACTAAACAACCATACAAATATTAAAGGTTGTAAATACATATGTATATGCAGAACTGGCAAGTAATTTGACAATTTCTGTAACTCAGATCTGTACATTATAAGGTTCAGGTCTGTTGTAGAGACTACAGCAAAGATCATAACTTGCAACAGAAGGTGAGGGTAAGGGTGAAGCAGAATGAGCTATATTTTAGCAAGGTGTATTCACTTTCTGTTTACATTTTGCAAAATGGAGATTATGGAAAATTTAGCGCTCTTATCAGTAAACCATGTCAGACCTTGTATATTATAGTTGCAAACAAAGAAGTCAGTCCCTGAATCAAAATGTATATACCTGCCATTCTTTTTATTCTTTTTTTTTTTTTAAGACTTTATTTATTAGAGGGAGAAAGAGACTGCATGCAGGAGCAGGGGGGATGGGCAGAGGGAGAGGAAGAAGCAGACTCCCCGCTGAGCAGGGAGCCCAGTGCGGGGTGGGGTGGTCTTACAACCCATGAGATCATGACCTGAGCCGAAGGCAGGTGCTTAACTGACTGAGTCACCCAGGCACCCCCTGTAGCTGCCATTCTGATAAAGGTATTGTTTATTGAAACAATAACCAGGAACTGTCTGAAAATTTACCATGGAGTCTTAGCATGAGAAGGACCTTGTATGGTCAGTTCTAATAATACCCTGTCTTTGGGCAAGTGGGTAAACAGCTAAGCTGGGTACCACAGATACTTACTTTTTCCACATTGCCATGGATGGAGATTCTATCACCCATGCCAGGGTAGAATTCCAGAGGTTAAATATATATATATATATATATATATAGGCTAAATCTCTCCTACTTGAATTTATCCCAGTCATTTTTTGGTTGATTCAGAGTTTGAAAGCAGTACCCCACTAAATAATTATTTAATAAGTTTTAATGAAAATGATGAGTCAAGAGGTCTTATCTATACTTTTGGTTGATTTTTACCTTTTTAAACTAAAAAATCATTTTCCCTATAATATTGATAAAAGGTACAAAAATTCAGATTGAAATACATCCAAACAGACATTTGGAGAACTTTGCAATCCCTAAGTAGTCTTGCTTAAAATGATTACTTTGGGGTCAGGATTATTACATCTTTGGCTTTTAAATAGATCATTGAAAGGAAGGAAAATCCTTGAGCCTACATACTTTAAAACGTTCTGGGCTAGGGAATTATCTTTAAAAAATAATGGAAATATGTATGTGGATATTGGTTCCTATCTTTTTTTGACTTAAATATATGGCTGTCTCAAGCATGATAATATAGTACCATCAAAGGAGACTATCCCAGGGGCGCCTGGGTGGTGTAGTGGCAGTTGGTTAAAAGTCTGCCTTTGGCTCAGGTCATGACAAGGTCCTAGGATCAAGCCCCGCCTCAGGCTCCCTCTGCAGTGGGGAGTCTGCTTCTTCCTCTCCCTCTGCCCCCACCCCACCCCCATCCTCTCTCTCTCAAATAAATAAAATCTTTTTTTAAAAGCATATTATCCTGGGGCACCTGGGTGGCTCAGTCGTTAAGCGTCTGCCTTCGGCTCAGGTCATGATCCCAGGGTCCTGGGATCGAGCCCCGCATCGGTCTCCCTGCTCAGTGGGAAGCCTGCTTCTGGCTCCCCCACTCCCCCTGCTTGTGTTCCCTCTCTCGCTATCTCTCTCTCTGTCAAATAAATAAAAATCTTTAAAAAAAACATCTTGGGGTGCCTGGGTGGCTCAGTTGTTAAGC